AGGACTATTTAATAAGAATAGCAAAGGGATGCTACAAATCCAGATGACATCCCTTTGCTCTTGGATTATACATTGAGAAATAATTTAATTTCTTTTTCTTTAATATAATTTTCTTGCTGTTCATTAGTATTAATATGAACACTGTATACTAAATGCAGGATAATTCAATATGTCGCTGCCTTCTTCGTACTTCTGTGTTTTCTGTTATCTCATTATCATGGATATTAGCAAATATTACATTTCCTATAAAATAAGAAAAAAGTGAAGTCAGAATGGACTTGTAATTTTGCAACAAAACATTATGGGAAATGGATGCTAATGGAGGGAGTTATTTAAAAGGTACAAATAGAAGCTTGTTTTTTTAGTGAGAAATGATTGGGAAAGTGAGTGGGGATAAATCAGAATGCCATAATTATTTGAAGTTTTATTCTTGCTTCTTCAATTGCATCAGTATGCCTGCTTCCTTCTACTGTCACAAGTCATGATTCTGCTATACCTTAGCAAAAAAGGTTTCCACTGAGTTAACAAATCTTCAGGCAGTAAGCCTTTCTGAACTGAGCTAAACTGGTGTTGGGACCACAATGAACACATCCAGAGGCCCCCTTTAAATTCACAAGAGGCCAGATATTCATTGTAGGACGAGTATTCTATAAAAAGGGAAAGGACTTATGACCAGTCTCCAAACACTGGGAGGAAGACACACATTGACCTCATGCCATGGTCCGGACAGCTACTAAGAGACAGCAAGTCACTTCATCCTGTTTGCCTCAGTTTCCTCATCTGTAAAATGAGCTGGAGAAGGACACAGCAAATCACACCAGTACCTTCACCAAGAAAACCCCAAATGGGGCCATGAAGAATGAGACACAACTGAACCAATGTAACAACAAGAAGTTTGGGAGAGCTGAGGCAGAATGACTCCTAAATATGATTTCAAGGGTATTGGTTTTCTGTGATTGTATTCATAGAAAAAGAGACAGTCATTCTGCAAATGTTGAAGCCAGATGACACTCTCTTAATCATGGAGCCTATACATATTTTACAGATGAAGAAACTGAGTCCTGGAGATGTAAAGCAACTTGGTGAGGGTCAAACAGCTCATTAAGTGTCAGCATTAAGATTAGAACCCAGGTCCCCTGTGACCCAAAGTTCTTTCCAGCGCATCAACTTTTCTTATCAAGGAGACTATTACACAATAGGAAAAACAGTCAGAGGTCTGAAATTTTCCAGGATAGAGAAACAGACAGGGTCCTGACACACATATAAATCAATTTTTTTAAAAGAGACATCCATGGGAAGCAAGAGTATTTGTTCTGCATTGCATGACAAGATCTCTTAAATCAGATGAATAATTCAGCCAGAGATTCATAGAAACAAGATAAAATCTTTAAGCTCTTTTAAGAGGCCCCATTTTCCTGAAACTTTATTTTTCCCTTTTATTTTGTTTTAGCTTATTGCTTTAATTCTGAAAAAAAAGTTTGGTTCAGAATATGGATTTATACTTCACATTTATATAAGCCTTCTGCTTTTTAAAAACTCAAGTAGTTTCCAGACCAGTGGGAAGGGCCCCAATCTCCACACCGCACTGGCCACAGATGCTGTGATTCCGTATTTGTAGCTTCGTTTATCTCCTACTTCCTGTTTGGATATTTACTCCCATTCTCAAAAATCCAGAAAAAAGACACATAAATACTTTCTGCTTGGTTTTCCTCTTCCAATCCTTTGGAAAATTAACAAAATAAATATTCTCTGGGTTTTTTTAAGGATTTGCCAAAATGAACTAGAACAATTTAGCAACATCCTGCCAAATCTACAAAAATAATATTTCTGAGTGCCAATTAAATGACAAATAATTGCATCAGTATTGCTTCTGATTGAGAATCCTATGAGAAGTGATCCCCAGATTTACAACGATTCCATACTTTTGATGACAAGCTATTTCAGATGCCTTTACCGAAACAAAACACACACACACACACACACACACACACACACACACACACACACACAACTCACAAAAACAAAACAAACAAACAAAAATATCCTCCATAGGAACATTTTGTCAGGTCATAAAGGGAGGCAGCTTACCCTTATGGGGACAGCACTTGCTTGGAGGCACGAAGTACTGAATTCCAATCCTATCTATGACGCTTACCAGCTCTATGACTCTGGGCAGGTCATTCAATACTCCAAATTATTGGGAATTTGGGGGAGGGGTAGCTTTTAAGCCTTATTTTTCTTCTCAGAAATAGCATTTTAAACCTAACTGGCTAAAATATTAGCAGGAAATCTGGCGCCAAAGGTAAGGTAAACTGCATTCATTTCAATTAATACATGATTTAATTATTTTTGAAATCAACGGTTTCCAATTGTAAATATGTTAGGATTTGGAATTATATAGACAACTGGTTTAGTAACTCAGCACTTTGAAGCAAAGGACAAACTCAGACTATTGCTAGCCTCAGCCTACTTTACTCTTACTGATTTGTAGGCCATGGTTACAACTCCCCTCTCTGGGGCTCAGGCAACTCCCTAAGTCAGATCTACAAAGTCACAGACAGGGATCTATTGATGAAGCAAATTTCTATTCCAGGACTCCTCCATCATGATTGATCACAGATTTAGATCTAGAACTCAATCGACCTCGGACTCCAACTGTGTTATTTTACACATGAGAAAACTGAGGCCTAGAGATATTCAGTGACCTCCTCAAGGTCACAAAAACGGGAAGCATCAGAAGTGGAATTTGAACCTAGGCCTTCTAATATTCTTTCCACATTACCATAAGATGAAACAATAAGGTTATTTGCATATTTGTGTAAGGTTAATGAAACCATATTCGATGAAACTAAAATCTTAGCTAGATTCCGCAGGCATAAGTAAATTGTATTAGTGAGTACTGGTCCTGCTAGGGTATAGATTCAAAGGGAATTAGTTAAGCAACATAGCAATTACTTGTTCACATGGTTCTGTCTGAGTCTACATGGCCCAGTGTTTCTGGAACGGGATGCTTTTGGACAAGGGGACAGAGGTTAATTAAGGCAAATGCTATGAAGAGCATGAGAGGGAAAGAGTCATTAGTGGAAAGATCCTGGGATTCAGAAAAGACCTAGGCTCATTTCAAGCTCAGCCATTGGTTTAACTGTGTGACCCTGGACAAGTTTATTAATCTTTAAGGCTTAACTGCAAACTGGGGGAAATGTTGCTTTCAAAACTTGCCTTTCAGGGCTGTTGTAAGGAAAGAGCTTTGAAAACCAGACAGTATTATGCAAATGTCAGTTATTATTATGAAGTTAATATTTTCTGACATTTTTATGCCATATCCATTTCTAAGAACTAGCCTTCATATGAGATATTTGGCTACAAGAAAGAGCTTGTTTCACATTCTTTTAGTACATAGTGATAAAAAAAAAACCTGTATATAGATGAATATGTGTACAGACAAGCAGGTGGCCCAGTGGATAGAGTACTGGCCCTGGAATCAGGAGGTCCTGAGTTCAAATCCAGCCTCAGACACTTACTAGCTGTGTGACCCTGGGCAAATCACTTGATCTTGCTTGCCTCAGTTTCCTCATCTGTAAAATGAGTTGGAGAGGAATATAGCAAACCACTCTAGCATCTTTTCCAAGAAAACCCCAAATAGGGTCACAGAGAGTTGGACACAGCTAAAACAATTCAACACCAACAAATATACACACAACTAACCAGACCACCAACATCAAGCAGGTCCCAGTCCTGAAATCAACCCTGTACGAGGTTCATTTTGGGTGGTGTTGGTCTTAACCCACATCTATTGATGAGACTTCAAACTTCTTGAGGGCAGCTATTATCTTTGTGCCTTTCTTTTTCTCTCCAGCGCTTAGCACAGTGACTGGCACACAGTAGGTGCTTAATAAATGCTTGTTTTTAAATGACTGCTTATCATTAAACTGACTGTTGACTGTCTGAGTATTGCCTATCCTGAGTTAGCTCAGCACATATTCTTGTGCCATGTAAGAGTGCATCATCTTCCTTGGGGAAGACTGTACCAAAAGAATGAATGCTCCTAAGGCTAGGTGTTTCCTATGCAAAGAAGCTCAAAAGTCTCTCAGGTGGAGGGATCTCCAAGAACTCTTGGTACACAGACTACACACAAGAAAATCTTCCTTCCAATAAACCCAACAGTGTGTCAGCCACTTGAAGACCTCCAGTGGGACTGTCCACCAAAGTAGCCCATTCAACATTGGGAGATTCTAGTTGTTAACAAGGTGTTCCTCCCTCTTCCTCTTACATAAAACCAAAATCTCCCTCTTTTTTTCCTTTTACCCATTGTTTCTCCCACTGCCCTCTGGGGCTAATGGGTCTTCCAAGAGACACCCCTTCAAATAATTAGAGAGTGTTGTTAGTCATTTTTCAGTTGTGTCCAACTCTTTGAGACCCCATTTGGGGTTTTCTTGGCAAAAACCTGGAGTAGTTTGTTGATTCCTTCTCCAGCTCATTTTACAGATGAGGAAGCTGAGGCAAGCAGGTTAAGTGACTCACCCAGGGTCACACAGCTAGCAACTGTCTGAGGCCAGATTTGAACTAAGGAAGATGGGTCTTTCTGACTGCAGGCCCCATGCTCTATCCACTGAGCCACCTCTACTGATCCTTCTATAGCACCCTCTTGAGGCCCTTCACCATCCCGGCTGGCCATCTCAATCATTTCTCCAAATTATAAATATCTTCTCTAAAACTTAGTGCCCAGAATTCCTACAGGTGTAGTCTGTCCTGGGCAGACTACAGTGAGAGCATCCATCACTTCGCTGATTCTGGACACTGGGTCTCTTTTCCTTCATCCTAAAATCCATTAGTTTTCGTTGCTGTTATATCATTCACTCATACCAGTGAGCTCAGAGCCCACGGGGCCTGCCAAACTGCTGCTGCCACCAGAAACACATGAGCGTGTTGGAGGATTAACCATCAGAAAAGCATGCTCGGGGGGACATCAAGGCTTACTGAGTATTGTTAAAGGCACTTACGGCTGACACAGCTTGATTAGGTCCTGGTCCGTGGTGCCGGGCGGAAGGCCTCGAATGTACAGGTTGGTTTTACTCAACTGTTCTCCACTGTTGTTGTTACTGCTGCTGTTGTTGCTGCTGCTGTTTGTGCTGGGGCTGGGAGGAGCCATGGGGTGGGGAGCTGGTGCATAGGACTGCTGCAAACAGAAAGAGTCATTAATGGACAGACAAGGCCACCGCCAGCTCCCAGCTCATCAGGTCAGATACAGAGCAAGGTGAAAGCCAACTGGCCAACATACGCATCTGTATGCAAGCGCGTGCGCACACACACACACACACACACACACACACACACACACACACACACAAACACAAACATCTGAGTACCCAGCATCTATTCCTTCTAAATATGATTGTCTTGCCCTTGGCAATGAAACTGGAAAACTATGATGTAGTCATAATGGGAAAAACAGAAAGGCTCAAGTTGGGAATATTATGTTTATTGGAGTTAGCCCATAATGTCTGAGGTCATCCTACTGTTAGTATTTCAGTGGTTCTTTCAGTCCTCTTCAATGACTTCTAGAATCTCTTTTTTTCCCCCGTCTTCCTTTTCCCCATTTTCTCATGCTGGCTTCTTCCTCAATCCAGTTGTTTATTTTCCCCTCTCTCTAATTTCAACTCCATTCCATGCCTTTCTTGGATCACCAACCTCTTTGAATCCATCTCCTCCAAAAAAAAAAGAGCCCTTTTATTGGAAATGAGTGGGATGGATCCAAAGATCATGAAACATCTCTGTACAGAGTGGCATTGCACAGCGGAAAGAATGATACATTTGTACTTCACCATCTAGGTTCGCATCCCATTTGTACCACTTTCTACTTGACCAACCATCCTGGACAAGTTGCTTACTTACTCTGGTCCTCAGTTTTGTTTTTTTTTTTTTTTAATATGGAAAATGAAAAATTGGACTGAATGGCCTCTAGGGTCCATTTCGACTTTAGTTCTAGGACCCTTCTAGGACCCTATGATTCCATGATGACCTGTTGTTATTTCCGCTTTTTAATTAGATTCTTGATTTCTTTGGTCTAGGGAAATCAGTGACAGAGCTCCTTTTACCAAAGCAGATTGGCAGCTTCTCCGGAAATAACCATTTTAGAAGTTGCCTGGGGCACAGATCAGTTAAGTAACTTGCCTAAGGTACATTATTGGTATGTATCTGAGGCTGCACTTGAACCCAGGTCTTCCTGACTCCAAACCCAGCTTTCTGCCATGGCTGTCTCTCAGGATATTTAATAAAGATACATATATTTAGATATGTTTAAAGACAACACATAGAATGTGTGTACTAGCTTCTTTCCAAGCCCAACTGAGGCATCATTGGCCACATAATCCTCTCCAGCTTCCAGTGGTTAGAGGTCTCTCCCACTTAAAAGTGTTCAGGTGGAAATATATAAATGCCATGTGTTCCCCTCAACAGAACATAAACTGTTTGAAGGCTTTGGTCTTTGTGCTCCTGAAGCCCAGCACAGTTTGTGGTACAAGCTTGGCATTTAAAAACTGTTTGTTGAATTCAGCTGAAGGACAACAAAAAGTATAAAGACAGCGTAGCATCATGGAGAGAAAAGTGACCTCACGGTCAGGAAGAGCAGGGTTCAAATCTCCTTCGTCATACATATCACTGTAGGACCTTGTGCAAGTCACAGACTCTCAGTGCTATAGGCAAAGCTTATCAGACTGTATGTTACCAAGAAAGTGTTAAGCTGCTTTCATAGAGAGGATTTCTTTTTCTGTAAGATTGTTATATTAATGAAATGTCAGCTCTAGCCCCTCTACCTCAAATATATAACTGTACCAACATAGATCTTTAACTATGCCCCGGATACTTAACTGGGAATCATTGAACTGTAAAATATAGATATGGATATATGTTGACATAATTTTATATATAGACATGTAAAGATACAGACAGATATTGATACATTGATAATTTTGTCAATATAATTGGTTTCCTTTATAATCATTTGCTCTCATTTTATTTACTTAAAACTATGATTCTGAGGAAGGCTCTCTAGGTTTCCCCAGACTGCCAAGGGGGTCCACAACACAACAAAGATTAAGAACCTCTGCCTTAGCATGCCCTGGCATAAAGTGGGTACTTAATACATATTGATTGTTGATTGAGCAAATGACTAAATAATAAGAAATAACATTTAAAGAGTGTTTTAAGGTTTGCTAGGCACTTCAACTGCTTTCCTGTCTCTAACCTACAGGTACACAAGGTCATAATTTTGTAAATGTTCCCACCTACTATACTCCAATCAAAACATCTTCACTGCTCTACACTCCTAGTGAAGTCTTAATGGAAACTCTCTAAGGATAACTGCCTTGCTGATACAGGTACTGGAGAGAGCTTGGAGGGATGAGTCTCAAGTGCCTACAATTGCCTTATTCAAAAGTTGTAACCAGGACAACATGTAAATATCCAAAGTTGTGTGGGGAGAGCATGGGGGTACACCACAGGTTGCAGAAAGTTGTTAGCTATTGTCTACAGGTGACTCTGCTTCCTTTATATCAACAGGCTGAACCTCTTGGGCATCACGATCAGTGTTATGCTGTGATCATAAGGCACATGGTGATGTTTCATCTGATTTCCTCAAAATCTCAGGATCACCAGTTCTGAGCCCTCAGGCATGACCCAGACTTTGATTTCCAACTGCCCACAAGCAGAGCCTTAAGTAGAAATATTTGTTCCCAGGGAAGGAAAACAGCACAAAGGGAAAAAAAATACCCTCAGTTCTTAAGAGAGGGGAAGACATAGTCCTATGGTAGAGAGACAGAGACATTAGGGAAAAGTCCCTTCTAGGATAGGTGAGATGGGAGACAGGTCACCCAAGTGCACCATCTGGGATCCGATCAAAGGGTTTATTCAGACTAACTAGATGCTAAGCTCTGTTCTATCCAGTCTGAAGATTTCCAAGTGCTATCAGCACCCAGTCACTCCACCACAGTTAGCTCTGCCCATAAGATGACTTCCTTTGAATGGTGTTCTGTCTCTTTAGGATTTGCCAAATTATAACGCAGGATGTCTCCAAACACTCTTTTCCTTCAAGCTTTCTCTATGTCACAGTTCCCTAGACTTGGAGGCAGGACAGCTGAGTTCAAAGATGGCCTCAGGTATTTACTAGGTCCCCCAGCTGAAAATGCCTTTTCCTCTGAGATTACCATCTGTCTTCTCTGTATGGGGTGTTCCAAAAGTCTTATTAAGCTATTAAAGCTTAAAACTTCTTTAAGACTTTTGGGACACCACGCATATATCTTGTATATATCTAGTTATCTATGTCTCCCTAAGGGCAGGGAATTATTATCTTGTCAACTTTAATGTTAACAAAGCCCACTTCCTACAACATCCCTTTGAGGTAGGTCACTATTTTACAAGTGAGGAAACTGAGACACTAAGAGGCTTATTTGTTCAGAATCACACAAGCAATGTCAATGCCAGGACTCAAGCTTGAATCTTCTGATTCTAAGGCCATAGCCCCACTTATGCCAGTCAACAAGCTTCTATCATGTCAAGCTTGATACATGAGGGTCATCATCTTCCTCTTTCATTCTTTGTGGTTAGACATTTCTTGGAATCCAAGTCCAAGTGCTATCATTTCTTCCATCAAAATTCCACTTGGAACCCCACCTTCCTCTTTATTCCCTTTGCTACATCAATCCAGAGTCTCAGCACCTCAGAGCCAACTTTCTGGATCCAATGCCCTAATATAATGATATCAAACTCAAACAGAAATCAAGCCTTACCAGCTACACACTGTCTTTGAAAACTGCAAATGAGCATTATCTATGTTGCAATGAATTTTTATTTATTTTGTTAAACAGTTCCTAATTACATTTTAATCGGATTCAGCCAGGACTTTTGTGGGCATGTGGATGTGCCATGAATCTGACATCTCTGACCAAACTGATCTCCCTATATCCAGTCACTCTGTATTCCAAACCAGCCTACATACTGCTACAAGATTAACTCCTTGATAACAATACTGACATTAAGGCATTGCTCTTCTCGATAATCTACAATGACTACTCATTGTCTGCAAAGTCAAATCCAAGCACATTTGACTGGCTTCTATAACATAAGATCTTCTAAAATCTGTCCTTACCTTCAAGACCACACTGAATCTTCAATTTTGAAGTTCTAGTAAAATCAAAACCACATTTTAACAGTCAGGGTCATGGCATCATAGAATTTCAGAGTCAAGAGACAGAGGTCATCCATTCCCATCTGTTCACTTTAGAAGCGAGGTGAGCTTGTTTCTTCATTGGTTCCTATATTTGTGGTTGTTATCTATTTTTGATGTGTGTGTGTGTGCGCGTATTTTATTTGTTTGTTTTTAGTTTCCAAATAGGCTATATACTCTTTGCTAGCTTGGACAATATCTTATCCTTCTCAGATTTAACATAGTTCTTAGTAAAATTTTATATCCAGTCAGTCAATAAGAACTTATGAAGTGACTACGATGTGTAAGACGCCACAATGCTAAGCCCTGGGGATTCAAAGAAAGACATAGATAGCACCTGACCTCAATGAAATTCCACTCTAATACAGGAGATAATGTGAAACAACTAGATACACAGAAGGTACATGGGGATAAATTAAATGTGATCTCAGAAGATAAGTCACCAGCAGCTGAAAGAATCTCATGCAAGATTTGAGCTGAGTTTTGAAGGGAGCTAAGGAAGAAATGAATGATTAATTGGTTAACTCACCAATTAACTTATTTGATTGACAGCTGTTATATTCATTGAAACTCAGCTCAAGGATACACTTTTACATGAAATGCCCTCTGAAACCCCCTTCTTCCCATAATTATCTTTTCATTTTAGGTCATATTATGTATACATCATATGTATCACTATCCTTTCCCCAGGAAAATGTAAACTCCCTGAGGGCAGGGATGGTTTCAATTTTGACTTTGTATTCCTAGTGTTTGGCACTTAATAAAATGCTTTTTGATTGAACCAATATGCCTACTATAACACTATGCTCTGACACACTGTGCATATCATGACTTGACACAAGTTGGACCACATGGCCTGTTGGCCTTTGAGTTCAGAGAGTCTGGGATTTTGTGAGTGGTGCCAGTGACAGAGCTCTGGAAGAATACACGCATGCACACACACACACACACACACA